AGTAAAATTGCAATGCTGGTAACGCCTGCTCAGTCTAAAACGATGAGATAACTGGACGATAGATAGATCAGACTTGCGAAAACATACAAAGGCCTTGCTCATTCGTAGAAGCGTACTTTTGGCTCGGACGAACTTAACGCGAGGGAAGTCTGCGGCCAGTAGCTGAAACTTGGATTTATTTGAGAGTAGACCAAAGATATCAATCGATCATTCGATCAAAATACCGACCTTACAGATATGGGTCATCTTTTGACACATCTCATCCTCCGGCTCATAGAGCAGAACGCAGAGCATATTCTCACATGTATCAATCGCTTTCGTAAACTGGTCCTTGAATTATATTTGGCCGCAATTTGTGTGGGATACTATATGAGCCTACCTTATCCATAATCTCCACAATTTTCCCTGCTGCCGCTTTTCTCAGCTCCATGAGTCGACGTTGCCGGAGATTTTCTAAGCTATCTTCTGCTTGAGCCTAACAAGCATTTATGATAGAAACATCAGAGAACCTCTCTAAAAAATCACGAAAAACATGATTATGTAAGAAACCAACTTGTTCACGCTCTTCTTTGGACATCTCAAGCATTCCCTTTTTTGACAACTCTGACAACTCTCTCAATTTTGCTTGTTTATTCCTATTCGCTGCTTCTTTCTGAGCGGCGAATTCACGCAGTACACCTTTGGCTCCCGTGTTTGAACTTGGTCCCAAACGACGCATCACGTTGCTCTAAACATTACAAAAAATTATGAAATAAAAAAAAGTCCGCAATAACTTTACTATTTCGATAACCTACTTGGTGCTCGTCTTCGTCGTTTGCCACTTGCCAGTCACCATCCTCCTCATCTGAGCTGCTGCAGTAGCCTACGTTTCTTCCATCTAACAATTTCGATTCTAGTGAAGCCATAGTAGAGAACGGATTATAGCTGAATTGCACGCTATGTGGTTCATTGTTGAAGATCATATCAATGTGCATATATCACATGGCTGAACATAGAAAAATCATAGACATTTTTACGAAGAATATTTATTCGTAGAGATTCGTGAGAATGCTGTGTAAATTATACCAGATCTAG